TAAAAAGATTCGCCCATCAAGCAAATCCCCTCGAAGTTAATTAACCTGTGCTTTATTTTACATATTATCCCTTCTTATTTTTGCTTAAAGGGCAGAGCTGTCCAAGGTCGTTGCCTTCAGAGGTAAGGCAGTTTTCACCATCTGACACATCTGTCAGTGATTGTAGCTGTCTCTCCTACAAGTGTCCAAAATCAGATAAGTGACAACACACTTATGCATTCTGAACAAGCTCTAGACCACATTAGAACCTCATCTATTTTTACAGTCCCATGTTAGGTCACATCCTTCCTATTAGATATTAGAGCAAAAACTCCCATTTCGCTGCTTCTGTTAATCCCAGAACATTGTGCCTTTTGTTAAAATAACTCTATTTTGCCACTTCCTGCCTCTCTGCACAGCACAGGATGCTCTGTACTAATGTCATGGTCTGCAAGCTCCACATTGTGTTCACTCTTCCAGCTGCTGGGTTTGTGCCTTCCCTCAGGTTCAGGCTCTTAACGAGTGCCCACACTCCCTCATTAATTTGGGAATGCATGACCAGGCCACCTGCTTTCCCCTGCTCTCTCTTTGCCTCAGCACAACCCTGGTATTTCTTTCCCTGCTTTGGAGAAGTTGTATCCAAGCACTGACCTGTTTTCTTCCTTTCATGCTCTTTGTGCCCCTTCTCAGAAGATGCCAGCCTGTCTCCTAGGATAAGGAACCTGGTGCAAGGCAGTCTCCCCTCCTGCTCAAGTGGGACAACACTGAAAAAAACCATGGAGGGTAAAGTCTCTCAGTGGTTAGGGGGTTCTGGGCCATCAGAGTTCCTCAGTGACACCCCAGCCCAGTGAGAATTCCTGTGGTGCCCCTCCTGCACACTCAGCGTGCTGTTGGTGACACAGCCACATCTCTACTGGTCAGCAACCAAGGGATTTTCACCCAGGACCCCCAAAAAGTCCTCCCTGCTGTGGCAGAACAGGAATTCTGGTGTGGGGTCCCCTATATACCCCCAATACTGATCACCATTTAGGGAGCTAACAGGTCTTTGTGCTTTCAGGTGTAGCTCACAGTGACCTGGAACTCATATATATAATGATGCAAAAAATCTCTCTGTTGGAAGAAAAAGTAGATAAACAAGCACAAGAAATTGAGCTGAAGGTAAAAATCAGCTGATCCTGACCCTGCTCTGTGCTCTGCTTTGATCCAACACCTTAACATTCTGTGTGACTCTATGATTATCCAAACAAGCCTTTGCCAAGCACAGAGCAACTGGATCAGGCCTTGGGGTGGGAGATGGGTTTGCTGTCACTTCTTACAGCAGTGGCTCTCAGCACCCTGGCACTGATATCAGCAGCTCTTGAGCTTCAGAGCTTTTTTTTTTTTTCCCCTTTTGTTTTCTGAAACAGCAGCTGCTCACAGAGCAGAGTCACCCTGGAGCAGTCCTCTCTGCATTACTGAATAAATACCCTTTAATACATACCTTTTAAAAGAAAAGAAGTATTTATTCTAATCTTTTAAGAGGTGTCTGCAGAGATGTTGGCTTAGTTTCTAGATCAGCCCCTCCCTGCAGGTCTGAGCAGGAAGACTGTTGTGTGTGCCCACAGCTCTCATGCAGATGGAGGAGGGGGGGATAGGTCACCTACTCCTGGAGTTGTGTATTTATCCCACCCTTCACTCGACTCTAATTAAGGTATTTGTGAGGTGTTTCAGCCCTTCTAACCCTTGTTTTGCCTGTCTCTGAGTGATGTGTGCTGCTGATTCACCCATCCAGGGCTAATTGTGCAACTGTGCCTCGAGGTCCTAAGGCCAAGGAACTCACCAAGGTCTTATTTGTTCTGCTCCTGCAGGACAGGAGGGTTGCTGAACTTGAGGAGAAGTTGAAGACTTTTCAGCAAGGAGAAGGTAAAAATTGTTCTACCTTTAGCACCTGTGGGAGAGCCACAGAGCTGCTGGTACTACAACAGAGCAGGGTAGGGATCTCCTCTCTGAGCTCTCCCTGGCTCCAAAGCTCAGAATCCTCTTAACAGAGAGGTACTAGCTACACAGAAATGCTACCATTTCCCAGAGCAGATCTGCACTTTAACTCACATCTGTTACTTGACTTTTTTTCTGGTACAGCACAAAACATCATTTCCTGACCTATTTTCTATGGGGTACTAAGTTTCCATAAGTGCAAACCAACCACACAAACACCCGAGGATGATCAGAGAAAAACCAGAGAACAGTAAATACTGCAGAGTTCAAACAGGCAGGAAAACAGCTACTCAGAGCTGAGAGAAACCAGAAATCTACTTGGAGCCTCTGACAGGATTACAGGTCCAGGCTCACTTGTCCTGCAAGGCAGCCTGACTCTAAATTGAACCCAGGTTTGAGTGAGTCACTGAAGGTCTTTCCCTTCATTCAATTCCTTGGAATCCAGCAGCTCTCCTGCTGAGCCCACACACGTTTCCTACAATGGTTGAACTAGCTTGTTAGTGCAAAGCTATGGTAAGTTCTTCATTTCCTGAGTAAGAACATGAATATGCCTGTCAAACCACAAACCAGGTTTGTGCCTCATCATGTATTGTGCTGCCAGTCAGCCAAGATTTCTGGATCCAACTTTAATGGACACCTGCTCATTTTTTTTAATGGGTTCCTTAAGTCTGAGGAAGCCAAGCAATTTTCATTGTGTAATTGCCAACAAAATTGCTCACAACAGCTTCCTCGGCATAAAACCTCACTAGTGTCATTCACAACTATCTGTCAGTATTGTTGTCAAACTGCTGCAGGTTGAGTTGTTGGGGTTCAGCACACAGAGCTCCTGTGTCCCACAGCCTTGAGTTCACTCAGGGTGCAGCCAGGTGCTGCTGGGGGTCTGTGCTGTGCCACACACCTTATCTGCAGCCCTTCTTTAAGGCTGCACAGAGAAACACAAAGCCTTATTTTTCAGGTGCTTCTAACTCATCCACCATAGAAGAACTGGAAATGAGGTGCCTTCAGCTGCAGACTCAGGTCTGGGAGATGGAGGTGAGACATCTGCTCTGCTTGCCCTAAGCCATCTGCACCTTTGATTTGGGATCATTGCAGTCTCAGGCTGTTTGGCCTTTTTCAAGCTGCCACTTTTATCATCACAGTTTCTCACCTCACTCACTCCCCTGAAAAGAAAGAACGAGTTGGATGTGATCAACAGAGCAGGAGGAGGATTTTTTAACACACAAACATCTGTGCCTCCTGCAAACATCTTCATTTTGCTTTCCAGAACTGTAGAAATACTCTTTGCAACCACTACAATCCTGGCAAATTACATTGTCACTACAGACAATTTCCTTCCCCCTTTTGCCTGCAACTAGTAGAGCTGCCAGTACTGCCCTGCCAGTGAGTCAGTCTGTCTGGAAAGGCCAAGGAGCCCCAAGACAAACCATTCTGATTTTCTCACAGACACAACTGACCACTCTCAGGCTTCTATTTCTAGTTTCCTGAAGTTCTGGTCTACAGCACTACTTGTCTTTCCTATTTCAGCAGTTTCTGAATGACTATGACCTGATTTGGGTTGGAGGGAGACAGGAGCATCTGCAAGATACAGAATCACTGAGAAAGGAAGAGGAGCTACCAGCAAGGAGCCTCTGGAACCCAGGTAAAGCACCATCACTCTTGGCTGAAGCAGCTCACCCTGCTCCCATTGCATGCTTAGAGAAGGTAGAGTAGATAAGCACCAAAGAACCAGGATTTGGGTCTCCAGAATTTGTAATCCTGTGCTGAGATCACATCAGTCCATCTCAGGGACAGAGACACGGAATGACCTGACAGAAGCTAGGCCAGGCAGGAGTTTATTTTTATGTACCTCTATTTTGTAAGTCCTGTCTGGGGGAAGAGGAGAGAACCTGATGTTTTGTAAGCCTTGTCTGGGGGAAGAGGAGAGAACCTGATGGCTCAGTTCTTTGGGAGGAGACCTGGTAGCAGCTGTTTCCTGCAGAGGTCACATCCCCTGCACATTTGAAACTTGATTGCTCTAATGACATTGGCATAAAGTGGGTGGAAAACCGGAATCAGGTGCTTTGTGTACATACCAGTTGTAGTAACTGACCCATATTGGTTGGCCCCAGTATTGTTTGCCTTTCCTCCCAGCTGCCACCTGAGTGGTTTAATTGAGGCCTGACTGTGCTGTATGGGCTCCAACCATGTTTGGCAAAGGCTTCTTAGGAAGTGGTAACAGAGCGAAAAAAGAATAGTGCTTGGACTGTTGAGCCAATGCTGCTTCCTAACCACCGTGCAAATATTAGCTATGTATTCTCTCCCTTAGAAGCAGGAGGGCAAAGATGGGGGTTAAACCAGTAGAAATAGTGTTGGTTTCAGCTCATTAACCCTTTTTAAGGGTATTTCCCTGTTCTCAGTTAGTAAATCATCAAAAAGCAGAACAGCAAATACCAAAGGCTCCAACCTCAACCTACATCTTTTCTTTCATTTCCTCTTCTGATCTCCTTCCTCTGCCCCATCACAACTCTTCTACTACACCCTACCACCCTACTCAAGCACCCAAACATCCTCACAGTGTCCCTGCCCAAAAGCAACCTGCTGGTGCTGGCAGCTGCCTGTGTTTTCACTGGCATTTCTTCAGCAAGAAAGCCTGCCCTGATCCACTGATCCAACTGAGTTCATCCAACTAGTGAAATTCCTCACCGTGCAGGGACAGCACAGCACTTGACATGATAACAAGCCAAGGAGCTGAGTGTGGTCCCTGTGAGCTGCTGCCCCTGCAGCTGGCCCTGGACTCCTGTGAGCGTGCACAGGAGCACTGCATCCCCCTCTGCCCTGCCCTTGTGGTTTAGCACACACCCATGTGGATCTGGCCACGTTGCCACCACAGCAGAGGTGTTGCACCACACTCTGCAAACACATAAAACACAAAAGCATGGACAGGCAGCCCAAAATGTCAGGGCTCAAATATTCTCACACGTGAAAGTTGCATCGCCGCCAACCTCTTCCTGCCCTAACTCTGATCCCTCTGCCACAGGTGATGCTGCTGTTTCCAAACAGCAAATTGATTTCGATTTGATCTTGAAGAATATTAAGTATTTGAACATTCTGGCTGGAGAAGGCATTTTTCAAGTGGAGCACACACCTAGGGGGGCTCGGCTGAGACAGGCAGAGCCTCTCCCTCTCACCCTGTACCAGAACGGCCTCGTCCTGCGCCACGGAGCCTTTCGGCCCTACGAGGACACAGCCACACAGGTATGGGAAGGTCTGTAGAGGAATTAGAGCCATCCTGCCATCACTCCCTAAGCCCCAGGAAAGGGAATTTGGCTTCTGAAGCTCATCTTAGCCCTAAGAAGTAGCACAGCTTCTCACCTGCCTTCCCAGTGCCTTGAAAGACTTGTCATTTTTAGAGATGGAGATTCTGTCTTCGATGCAGATTTTTCTGCACGGCCATAACACCACAAAGAGGAGCAGCCCAGCAGGAAGATATCACTCAGAAGCTAAACAGAAAGCCTGAGGTATGACCATGAGCTCTCCCCTGTTTTTTCAGCAATGCCTGCAGGACATTATGGATGGCTATTTCCCTTCAGAGCTGCAGCTGCACTACCCTGATGGCATCCCTTTGCAAGTAAGCACTGCCAGACCCTATTCACCAGTTTTTGGGAAGGAATTGCTGCCTTCCTTTCTAAGAAAACTATTCAGTTTTCTCTCATCCATCTGCTGGATGGTCCCCCCAGCAAATTGGGTTTGAGGTTTGTGAACACAGTGTACACAGAAGTTGATGGTGTGCAGGTGGCAGGGAACACACCTGCTGTGGCTGTTATAGGAAGTGTTTCTGCATCAGGACTGAAGAGTTTCTCTGCCTGAGTGAGCCTGGCTTGGAGAAAGGCTTCTAAGAGCATAGCTGGCTCTGTAAGAGAAGCAGCACATGCAGCAGCTGAAGAGCTGTGTCACTAAAAGGAGAAGAACAAAAAAAGTTCTCAAATAGTTCCCCTAGGAAAGCTTTTCAAACCAGACTGAGCAAGTGTCTCACAGAGAGGATGTCACGAGAGCTTATTTTGCCACAATTTAAATGAATTTGGCCACATGAGGTTCTTTTAGGCTCCACTTTTTTTGATTTCTCATAAATGGCGAAGAGCCAAGGCCACGTTTTCAGGCAGAGAGCCTCAGAGGACTCAAATCTAGGTCTTCAAGTGCATCCAAAACGTAAGCAGACACAACCAGAGGTTGGACCTACCCACTGCCACAAGGAAACCAGGGCACAGCTGCATGGACAAGACAAGGTCAGGCCAGCTGGATCCAACTGGGAGATGTGGAAGTTAAAAAGTCACATGGAAAGAGGATTGTGTGAGGCTTCTGGGGCTGAGGTTCCCTATATCCTGTGCATCATAAGCTTTGCTTGGGGTTTACAACTGTTGTTTGTCATTGCTGGGGTTTATTGTGCTCTGATGCAGCAAGAGAAGCTTGTGCAACAGTCAGATTTGCTTATGGCCTTAATTCAACAGGTCACTGACAGAAGGAACGTGGTATTTCAGGAGAGACACCTTCCAGGGACCTTCCCTGGCCGTGGCCAAATGGTTGGATATTCAGAATCCAACAAGGTGCAGGAAACCTCTGAGATCCCAGGTAAGATGGTAAACATGCCTCAAAAAAAATCAGCTATTTTCCAAAGAAGAAAATTCTTAAACTTTACCAGGGCAGTGCAGCTGGAAGGAGAGGAATGGGAGAGTCTCAGAGAGGAAGGCAACACTTCTGGGTCAGAGTTCTGTGCTTGCAGCCCTGGTGTTGGTTCAGGAGCCAGACAGCACACATGGTGTCCTCTCATCATTAATCCTCCTAAAGTATGAGACATGACAAGCAATATAACACCAGAAATTCAGCAGTTTCCACAAACATATCTGCCCTGTGCCTTTCTGAAGGGCCAAGCTCCTTCTACCTTCATTTGTACCAGCATCAAAAGCTGCTGAGGGAACCCTACCAGCCTGGGTGTGGGTTGCTTTCAAACAACCTTCCTTTCTCCTACAAGCTCATTCTGTAAATTCAGATATCTTCCAGCCAGATCAGCCTTAACTGCACTGAATATGGGACAGTTTCTCTTCAGACTTTCATAACAGAATTTGGGACAGAAGGTCAGGCCACAGATTCCTCATCTTGCTTCTAGACTCTTGCAGTCTGTGTAAGCAATTCCTGTCAGGGTTGGGAAGTCAAAGTCAGTCAGAGAGACAGAAACTCGTGGGTTTGTGCATGCATAACTAGATAACCTGACACGTGCATCACCTATCAGCAGCAGCTGCCTATTGTACACAACTCTGCTGCTTGCTCATGGATTTCTCTGTTTGCAAACAGAAACTCTGATAAATATTCCCTTTAGCCAAGTAATAAAGAAATTAACTTTCCAAACAAAAAGGAACGGACACCTACAAATACTCCTCACAAGGTGATAAACTCTCCAAGTCTGTAAAAATGGTGATAGTTTCAGGGTTTCCCAGCAGAACTACCTGGGTTTCTACCTGCTGTGCATCCCAGCTGTGTGCTGAACAGGCTGTGCAGTTCTCGCTGTTGGTGTTGACAATCAAACATTTAGTGGGCCAGAAAGTGGGACAAGCTTCAGCAGAGGAACCTGAGAGCCAGTCCCAGCCTGGCTGAGGGTGGAGAGAGCTCTCCCTGCCGGCTGCTGTGCTTTCTGCTTACACCAAAACAGCCCATTCTGGGGGCAAAACGTCTCTCAAAAAAAGTCCCACACGGACACATCTCTCCTCTGCAGATCCCAAAGACTCCTTGGAGCAGTTTCCCAACAAGCTTTCCAAGCCCTTGAAAGACAGAGGACGAGGGCTGAGTGCCCTAGGCTCAGCCAGAGCAATGCAGCAGGTATGAATGTATCCCCCAGACATGAGCAGCAAGAGGCTCAGCACCCAGCACAGCACCAGTTCCCCCTCCTGGGGCCTCTCCTAGCTCTGTGTCACCTCCTTTGCCCAGGGAGGCTCCACCAGAGCACACGTGGCAATTTGGCTCCTGGCTCTGGGCTCTCCTGGCTGCTCTCCGTGCAGAACAGGCAGTGGGGACACTCACCTGGTTTGGTTTCAGGGCTCTGATGAGGCACAGAGAAGTGAAGAGATCCTGGTGGAGACACCCAAGCTGGAGAGGTATAGGTACAGCCCCCCCAGCCCCAACCCTCTGGGATCTCATCTTCCTCTTTCATCACTGAGGGTTTATGTCAGGGGGTTCAGCTGAGGAATTAAATGGACTTTCCCCCTTTTAGACCTTAGAAATAATTAGGAAAGGGGCCAAGTTTGGTCTTTTGGAAAGACCACTGAATTGTTCGTGGTAGCCTATTACATCTCTAACAAAAAGCTTCTGTTGTTCCAAATGTCATTTACTGCTGTGAAATAGTTTTCCCAACAGAAAGCCAAGGCCCAAGAGTTTGAAATCACCAGAGAAGCTGTTTGCAGTCATGTTAAATGGAAGACTCTCTCCAGGAAACTGATGCCCAGCCGGGAGGTCACACTAGCAGCACTTTTCCACTCAGTCTTCTGCCAAGCCAAGACCCAAATAGCTAATGAAAAAAAAAAAGAAACCCAAGCTGGTTATTTTTAATCAAAGAAGTAGGGCGAAGTACTTACCAGCCAGCCCTGATCTAAACCAAAATAGCTAAAAAAAGTTGATAACCCTCTTCTCAAGGCACCTCCAGGCAGGGAGAAGAGAGTAGCAGTTTGGGCAATGGGTTGGTCTGTTTACCTGCAATCAGACAAGGCCTTGTTTATCTCAAGGACATTCCCAAACTCCTCAGTGACAGCCCAGGGGCTCTGCCAGCTCAGTGGGGCTCACTCCTCAGCTAACAGGGTTTTCTGACCTGCAGGGTGAAGATGACTGCAGGGGCTGAAGCTCCTGCCCCTGGTGTCTGCACTCTGCGCATCAAATCCGAGAGTGGGGACCAGACATATGTTGTCAAGATGCTGTTCAGAGACACCATTGGGGACCTGCGCCAACACCTCACCCACATCAGGTATGCCCAGGACTTCCTTCCCTTTTGTCTGGATCCACAGGGCCCCAGGGAGGGGTTCTTGGCAGCTGCTGGAGGCTCTGGAGCTTCCAACACCAGCCTGAGCTGGGTCACAGCCCCAGCCCTCTGCCCACCAGAGATGTTCTGCAGGTAGCACTGCTGTGGTTCCACTTAGCTCAGAGCATTTCATATCCACCTTTGCCAAAAGGCTGACCCAGCAGCAGAAAGAAGCCTCTTCTGTCTTCCCCAAATCCCCATCAGACCCAGGTCCATCACTGTCTTTGCCTCATTCCAACTGCTCAGCAGCACTTACCTAACTAGGGCCACAATTCCCATGGTGCTGGTACAGCCTGGAAACTGAGCTGCAGCCTTTGCTTGGCTGTTGGATCCTCTGCTGGATAAACACCCACTTTGCTCAGCCACCTTTGTATCCTGACACACTTAATCCTGCCCAAGGGCTCACTCAGCCCTTTGAGGACAGTTCCAGATGCATAACAGCCTCCTTTGCTCTCCCTCCTTCCCACTCCTGTTGCAGACCATGGCCCTGGAGTTGGTCTGAGCCCAGGATGAGCTCAGTGCTGTTGGGATGCACAAGGCTCCTTCCCACTACAGCTGTGCAGCTGGAACAGCTGCTCTGTGCCTGGCTGCCTGCAGTTTGGGCAGGAGAAACCCCTTTTTTCTGCTCTTGCATAACCACAGCTGGATCAGCCACAAAATCTCAGCAAAACCTTGGGGGATCCTGTGAGTAGGAAAGATTGTGCTGTTCTTTCCTAGGGGTGGAGACTCCGACTCATATGAGATCATCAGTACCTTTCCCCAGAGGGTGTACACAGACAACTCCAGGAGCCTGCAGGAATGTGGATTGACCCCCAATGCTTCCTTGCTGCTGAGGAGAAAGGCTCCCTCCCAACAAGAGGGGATGGGGCTGCAAAGAGCATAACAGCTCCTCTCCAGAGCTCCTTGCCCGGAGTTCTGCATGAGGAAGGAGCTACCTCACACCTTACCTGTGTTATAACCTCACCTGTCTGGAAAGAGAGGAAAGCTTGGAAAGAATTTTTCCAGATTCAATTTCATTGTGGGATGGAGAAGAGCTCAGAGCAGCGTTTTGGCCTCTCCCTTTGGCAGAGGGTGCCAAGTCTGCTCCTGTTGGCTCACAGGTGGGTGCTATTCCCCAAGACAGGTGGGCTCCCAACTCAGGGAGCTGGTTCCTCATCTCTGCAGAGGGTTACACAGGCTGATCCCTGCCCAGGGGAGCCTGCCAGCCTCTCACTGGTACTGGGCAGTTGCTTAGCTGGGCTCAGGGTCTCTAGCAGCAGGACAGATGCACAGCCAGGGGCAGTTTGCTTTCCAAACACAGTTGCTCCCCAGAAATTTCAACCAGGAGAGAAACAGACCCAGTTCTATGGTCTCTGATGAAGCTAAACCTGAAGGCCTTGAGCCACTGCAATGCTGGGACTGAGCCAGACTCCACTCAGCCAGGAGATCCTGCTACTGGGCTTCCTGTACGTGCATAACTCCTTCCCTTGGACAGCCCCCAGCTCCAGCGGGGCCCAGGCTCCAGCCAGGCCGAGCCCTCCCTCCCTCCCTCCCTCCTGCTGCCGGGAGCTGGATGCTGCAACAGGACACCGTGTCACTGGAGAAGAGCATAATCCCTCCGCGGCTTCTCTGCCGAACCCTGAATAAAGCATCTTCCTCCCTCTCCCAGTGCTCTGCAGGCCCTTTCCCTTTCCCCAGCACATTCCTCCCATTCCAGCTGTGACAAGCTCCCACTCGACTCCCAGCTGATGGCACTCCCACTCGTGGGAGGCAGTGCCTTCTGGCAGGTTCCCTCTCAGCAGAGACCTTTAAAGGCTCCTAATAAAATTCTTTATTTCTGTTGCAGTTTCCCCTTCCATTAGATTTCAAAGGCTCAGTTGCTGTAGAAGCTCAGGGATGCCTAGAGCTCTTCCTAGACCCCCCTGACCAGAGCTGGACCCTGGCACAACTCAAATCCAGGAAGCAAACCAGCTGCTTCCACACATTCCCTGTGACCAAGTGACAACCCACACAGCTATCACTTAGCTTCCTCATTTTTCCACCTGGAGCAGATCCATTTCCAGTGCCACTCTGTATCCTGGTCTCTATCCAACCAGGTAATCCTTGTGCCAGGGGTTTGTTTTTGGCTCATATGTCTGTCTGAGGCTGTGCCTGCCCCAGGGCTGCAGCTCTTACCAGGCAGAGGAGAGGAATGCTGGAGCAAGGTCCCTGTCACTACTGCGCAGCAGGACACTCAGACAAGTCCTGTGAGCCTTTGATTAGCAGCAGCAATCTAAGGTGTTAAGATCATTGTGTCAGGCTGCAGCAGTGAGTACAACCCACTCGGCTTCACTGAGCTGGAAATGACTCAGATGGTTACACAGGTGATGCTTAAACCTGTAGCCAAAATAAAACCAGATATAAAAGAAACACAGCAGTTCTGATGTGAAAGGTACAGTAACATTTAATAGCATTCTTAGAAGACAACACTGGTTATAAACTTGCTTTTTGGCAGGAAAACAAAATGCACTTGGTCCAGGATTGCAAAAAAAAAAAAAAAAAGCCAACTCAAAGAGGAAAGATCAGACAGCTGGAGGAGCATCAGCTGGTCTGGGGCAGCCCTGAGCCACTAATGCTCACGAGGGAGCCCTGGAGAGCAGCCAGAGCAGCACTGGTCCCATTTCCAGCCCCATCCATCCCCCCAGGCTGCCTTTGCCCCCAGCTCCTCCACGGTGGGTGGTCAGACCCCAACTCTGTGCAGTATTTTGCATTAAATTAAGACAAACAAAAAAACACCCCCTTTACTTAGTTGCCATAAGTTGAGATGAAGAGGAAGGGGAAAAAAAAGGGGGGGGGGGGAACAAAAAGGGAAAGAAAAAGGAAGTGAGGCAGCAGAATTTACAATTTTAACAGCAATTAGGAGAAGTGGGAAGTGAGATGCAGCCCTAAGCCCTTCCCTCCCGAGGCAGAGGCTGTCCCTGCAGAGGAGGGGGCTGATGGCCGAGCACTTCGCACGGCCCCAGAGGCTTTGCTGTTTACAGAGGCACTGGAAGCTGCAGTGAGCCAGGCCCAGCTTTGCTCACAGGCCATGAGCAGCGAGCGTCAGACTTTCTTTGGATCCCTCGGAGATGATTTCAGGGTTAGGCAGGAGGGAATCGGAGGCAGCTGCAATGAGGAGTTTTGGTCATGGGTTTCCCTTGTGCTGGGATCCAGGTCACAGTGCCAGGACAGCACTGACAACCTGGAAATGAAGGTGGTCGGAGATGAGGGTGCTCAGGAATGCAGGTAGAGTCCAGGATGGGAGGAGAGCCCCAGGGATCAGGCGAGTTTCAGGAACTCCTGCAGAGTGTTTTGCTCCACTGCTTCCACAAAGAGCTCATAATCCTGGAAGGAAAAGCCACACAGCTGCTCACAAGGGTCCCCTGAGCACACAGCACCAACTGGTTCACAGCACAGGTACCAGTTGGTCATGCAGAGGACAACAAGGTGAAGCAGAGACAGCCCCACATGGCACAGCCAAACCAGCACCCAACGACCCTGCCCAGATCTCCTTCTCCCAAACCACCAAACAGCCGTGAACCCTGGCAGCACCTTGTCCACACACCTCAAAACAAGTAACTTCAAGCAAAACCAAGGGGACAGGGCTGTCACCCCCCAAGCTCAGGGTGCTGCTCCCCAGGCTCACCCCACAGTACTGGTCCCCGTTGACGATCTGGGGTGGGATGGCTTTGGGGTTCCCTGCCTTCACCCTCATCTCCTCCCGCAGAGCGTTGTCCTGAGAGATATCCACCAGCTCGTACTTGATGTTTTTCCCATCGAGGATTCGGGTTACTTCGCTCTGTTGGGATTTAATCTGGAACCCGGGGGGGAGAGGCAGGTTATGGGGGTGATGGAGAGGTGTCCCAAGGGTGGGTGCAGACCCCACCTGGGGAGGACACCCAGCAGGGATGGCTCGGGGCGAGAAGGGGATGGGGCAGGGTGAGCAGGACAGGGTGAGCGGGGTGGGATGGATGGGGTGGATGGGGTGG